TATATACAGGACTCATTGCATGGCTGTGTGTAATAGTAGTATACATGCGCAATAGCATGTAATAAATACTATGATGCATATATTTGTATACAAAGTAGGGTAATTTTACTTCTTAACGCAGTGATGTGACTGTTTTCATATCGATTGTAACCTAAGCTTTGATTGTGTGAATATTTCTTTTGGCAGTACATCGCGTGTGGTATCAGATGCAGATCGTGACAACATAGTAACAGTGAAACGATTGCTTATGATTTATGAGTCATATTGGAGCCTATTGTTTGATGATTCTATTGGTGATGTGATAGTAACAATAGCATGACAAGACATAATGTTGTTGGATCTCACATCACCAACACGAATCTTAGTCAAAGGGGGCAAATTCACGAGAAAAACTTCAATTTTTTTGGGAAAAATTTTCTCTATTTTTAGAATTTTCTAGCTGTATTCTTTTTTTTTAATCTGATATTTGAAATACCCATGCCACTTATCATTATTCCTTTCATTTTTCTATATATCAGTCCATGCGATCAACCGGTCTAGTTATAATACCTTTATACTATATTACAGTAGTTTTAATAATACTAGAAAAATATTATAACATAATATAAAAATACTATATTTTTATGAAAAATACTTGATATAATATTTTTATATTACATTATAGTATTTTCCTAGTATTGTCGAAAACACTAGTAACACATTACAAAAACATCGTAATACAGTGTTTTCTTAGTATTATTGAAAACGTTGTAACATTATTTTTTGTACTACGTTATAGTATTTTCTTGGTATTGCTGAAAATATTACGACAAGATGTAAAACTACTATAACTAGACCTATTCACCCAAGAAAATGAAAAGAAAAGAAATAGATAACTAGTTATAAAATCGAGAATATCTCATATATTAGGCAAAGAAAACATTGTTAGAGAATTCTGAAAATAAGGAACACACAATTTGGGGAAAACCCAAAAAGAAAATTTATTTTCAAGAATTCACTCCTTTTTTTTTAAATTCGGACGTAGATTTATTTTGATTATTTTTAATATTAGTTGTTAGATATATATATAAATGAGAGAAACAATATTGATCTTTTTAGTCACACTTTTAAATTTAGATTTGATAAAGTTTATGCTAATCATCATGAAAAATTATTTAGTTCTAGAAAATCAAGTATTGTTCAGATGGCATGCTCCTAGTGGCAAGAAAATGTGGTTGAATATTTACACTTTTGGGGATATTAAGGAATTTAACTACTTTGACCTTCCTAGCTATTAGGTCATGGATGTCTAAGAATAATGATCTAAGGTACCAAATTTATACTGTTGGTGTCATTTACATAGATTTCTGAATTTACATGCATTCAAATATGATGGTGTGGGTTTTAAGAAACTTTTGAAGATGACAAAGGAGTGAAGCCATCCATATCTTGCAAAGTCCAAATTAGATGTAAAAGTATAATCAATAATATAGTTAAAGTTATGAGGTGATGAGAAAAAAATCTGATTTAACATTATCAATCGATGTATTTTCAAAAAGAAATAAGTCATTGGTGGCGGAAATGATCTTACTTTAAAGAATTGAGGCTTTGGCACGAAGGGTGTGACAACATGAATGATTTTTTGTTTACCTAAATATACCATAGTGTAGTAGCAATAATGCTTTAAAGTAAAAAAAATTATAAGGAATTAAGAGTAGACATTGACAAAAATTCAATCGGGAAGCGACCTAAAGTTGTATCCAACCCAGTAAATTTTACCTATAGTAAATAATTTGAAGGTTATCGAAGTTGAAGATGTTTAGAAAGATTATATTAGAAGGTAAAAAAGTATCAGAAAAAAAATTTGAATTTTTTTTTGTTTCCACGTGTCTTGATACCGATTTGTGAGATAAATTTTAATATATTGGAATTCAGAAAGGATAATGTTGGATTATCTTTTTTACAAGTACCTACGCCCAACCTATAAAAGGAAATCACCAATGAATACTCTTTTCGTCGATGCAAGAAGAGAGGACCAACGATGGTACCCTTTTGCTCCTCCTGTCTCTCTGATGAATGCTTCCAAGTGGGGTTGAAACCATGCAGGACAATTGCACATCACATGAGCTTGGATGTAGCAATGGAGGGACAGGAAATATTTTAATTTTTATCCCTATAAAAAAACATATTACTTTTTCTTTTTTGAACGGATTCTCCAAAAAAAAAAAAAATTAAAAGCCATTTGATTTATCTTTTCCTAAGGAGCACCTTATTGTCATTTTACTTTCTCTTACAACATTTTTTAACTTCCAGCATTGTTCTAAAACCGTTGTGGTGTCTTATTCCTGGTCAAAGATTATTATTTATAGTTAGATTTTTAAAATTTTAAATTTTATATTAAAATATTTATAATTATAAAAAGAAAAATATTTAATTTTATTTATCCTAATGTCGTTGTTTTTATCGATGAAAGATACAGCATTAACAATACGTGCGTGAATGACATAAAAACGAATGACAACACGTGCATGACGGATGTGACGTCGTTGGTGGCTAATATGGTGGTGGTCGATGATAATGGTGCTATGGTCAATTTTACTATTGTCAATCCAAACATCAACGACAAAAAAAAAGAAGAAGACAAAACAGTGAGATATCTACATCAACATCGGAGGAGGAAGAGAAGGGAGGTGACGCATCTTCATCAGCATTGCATCGCTCTACCTTCTTTTCCTCCTCTAATGATGAGATATCTACATAGACGACAAAAGAGGAAGAGAAGAGTGATGAGACATCTGTATCATCGAGAATGAGAAGAGAGAGGGAAGATGGGGTAAGTGAGACAACGCGATGCAACATCATTCATGCATATGCTATCTTGTGCTATATCTTCTTTCTGTAAAGTCGATAATATTAGGATAAATGAGATTAAATATTTTATTTTCATAAGTATAGAGATTTCAATGTAAATTTTTTAAGCTTAGGGAGTGGGATGTTAAATATTTTACGATTCAATAAATTTTTGAATCGGTTCACATAAATTCGAACCAACTTCAAAATTTGTAATTAAATAACCTTAATAATTATTTCCTATAATAGTCTTAAATATTTTACGATTCAATAAATTTTTGAATCAGTTCAAATAAATGCGAACCAACTTCAAAATTTGTAATCAAATAACCTTAATAATTATTTCCTATAATAGTCTTAAATATTTTACGATTCAATAAATTTTTGAATTAGTTCAAATAAATTCCAACCAACTTCAGAATTTGTAATCAAATAACCTTAATAATTATTACCTATAATAGTCCTAAATATCTTCTGGTTCAAGAAATTTTTGAATCGGTTCAAATAAATTCGAACCAACTCCAAAATTTGTAATCAAATAACCTTAATAATTATTTTCATTCAAAGTTTAAAATTAAAAATAATAAATACAATAATTACTCATTCCTTCAAAGCAGAATCGTTGTAAATTCTAATGATGGAGGAGCCAATAAGCCATCGACAACCTACTTCAAAGACGAGATATACGTATAAGAAACTGACGCGTGCATGGATCGATCTTGGATTCTTTCCGGAGCCGACAGGGCGGCGGCGGCAATCTGATCTCTCTCTCTCCCCCCCATATATTCCATTCCCTCTTAGATTTTGCTCTCCCTCACCCCCCCCCCGATCGTGAACAACGTGTTCCAAGCACGCCGTTAAAATACCCATTCCCTGCTTACTCTTCTCGTTAAAATGTCACCGAGGCATATGTAATACGATGCAACCACGGGATGAGTGGGTGATCGCGGGTGTGTTGTGTTGCGCAAAGCAAAGGGGGACAAGATATGAATGGGAAGCCAGTGGGTTGTTGGTGGGCACACGAGAAGAAGTGGGCCTCGAGCTTTTTGGGTGGTCCCGCCCCTTCCCCTGTGGGACACGGAATGGTACCGTTGTTGATGATTTAATGACGTGGCAGTTGCGACGATCGGTGTGACAGCTGCCACGTGTTGATATCTAGTGTGTGTGACGACGGCCGGTGGTGATAGCCGCCGCGTGTCAGTGTCGTACTGTGCGACGCCCTCCAATCAAGTGGTGGGAGGACGTGAGAAGGCTCAGGCGGAGGACAGCTTTTTGAGGTGGTTCTCGTTTCCTTGTGCCACCATCCTCCTCCTCTCGGAGATGCCTCCATCCCATCCTTGTCCTGCTAGTTTTGTCCCTTCGGATTTCCATTTCGATTTTTTATGCGTCCCTTCTTCTTCGATCGACTGATATGCAGTTGCCGATATCAGTATATTTTTTGTTTGAGGGGATCAAACTGACGACCCACTTGCAGTTGATTGGGAGTTCATACGTACCAACCAATGGGAACGCGGCTTTGGACGCCCACCCACACCTTTTTTATTTGTTGTATATATTCCATCGTATGTTTCATGTTGCTGCTGCTGCTTTTGACCTCTCTTCTTCCTTTCCTTTCCTTGGTGGTGCAAACAGCTGTGTAAAGACACCGAATCTTGGCCAAACACATTCCCTTTTACGCTTGCTGGGTTGGAAGCATGGACGGTGGTGGTAGGCTAAATCTAGGGTGGAAGCATCACCCTTCGCTCGAAATAGATACACCATTTTCATTCGGCGCTACTATACAATCTGAATGTACTACTGGTCCCCCAATATTTAGGACTCTTATCGGTGCGGCTAAGGCTATACCTCTAAAACGTGATCTCAAACCAAACCAAAAAGGCCAAGTCAATCGATCGATCTAATCCGGTGGAACAAATCGGATCGATTCACCCTAGGGAGATCGTAGCATTTAGTTGCTACGTCTAGCCTTTGACTACTGCAGCCAGTAACACCACTCGACGCCCAGCTCCCCGCCGCATGGAACCTAGAACGGAATCCTTCACCGGCCGTGCTTAGGTGGTGATAGGAAGAATCCCGACGCTTGCACATTTCCCTGCCGCTGTCACTTTAAACACCTTTAACCCTCCCTCGCCGTCGATCCATAAGGTGACATGGATCATTAGACCCCCTCCCCCGTGCCGGTGGTGGTGCCCGAGTCTCTGGCGTCGGAGGGGCCACCGTTCCGACGATTACATGATGGTGGGCTCGGTAGGAACCAGATCGACGGTCTCGAACCGACTTGAGCGTGACCTCACAAAGAAGAACCAAGGACAATGATTCAACCCATCTGTAAAGGAACCATTAGGAAGGTGACACGAGATGTTGGCGTCCTATTATAGCCCGAGCCGGGGGGGGGCCGCCACCCGTCGCCCCTCCGACGTCTTCGATATCGGGCTCCAACACCACCGCTGGGTTTCTAAGATGTCCAGAGAAAGCTTGCCTTCAGCTAACAAAGGTAGAGCTTCCTCAGACAACGGCCCAAAAAGAAGGGCACGGTTGCGTCCAAAGTCGCGGACATTGAATCGAACACCGGTTGACAATCTTGCGGCCTCTCACTTGCCCCTTTAAATCCCCCTTCCTCCCCCCTTCCACTTCCGCTGCTCCTCCCTTTCTCCTCGCGCTTCTTCCATATATAACCATGCATTGTCTCCTCAGACAACACAGCGTCGTCTTCCTCGAGCTCTTCCTCGTCTTGGTCCTAGGCGGCATCGCCATGCATGTCTCCGACCCTGACGTGCCTTCCTCGCTGGACGCACTCCGCCTCGAGGGCAACTTGAGCTTCCACGACGTCTCCCTCGCCGCAAAAGACTTCGGGAACCGCTTCCGGTTCCTGCCGTCGGCGATCCTGCACCCAGTGTCGGTCTCGGACATCGCCGCCATCATCAAGCATGTGTTCCAAATGGGTCCGAGCTCGAAGCTCACCGTCGCGGCCCGAGGCCACGGGCACTCGCTGCAGGGCCAGGCGCAGGCCGATGGCGGGGTGGTCATCCACATGGAGTCGCTCCGCGGAGGCGGGACGCGGGTGCACGCCGGGGAGCGCCCCTACGTGGACGCCTCGGGAGGGGAGCTGTGGATCAACGTGCTGCTCGAATGCCTGAAGCATGGCCTGGCGCCCAAGTCCTGGACCGACTACCTCCACCTCACCATCGGCGGGACGCTGTCCAATGCCGGGATCAGCGGGCAGGCGTTCCGGCACGGCCCCCAGATCAGCAACGTCCACCAGCTCGAGATCGTCACAGGTTCTCGTGAGCACGCCACAAGTTTACCATGCAGCATCATCACCGATCTGTGCATGACTCTGCATCGAAACGTTGGGTGCAGGGAAGGGCGAGCTGCTTACCTGCTCGACCGAGGAGAATGCCGCCCTCTTCCACGCTGCTCTCGGAGGCCTCGGCCAGTTCGGAGTCATCACCAGAGCCAGGATCGCGCTCGAACCAGCGCCGGAGATGGTAGGGACTCCGTGGCACCTCGTCCTGTTGTAGCGACAGAATTCATCAGTGCTGATGAGTGGCTTCTCACAGGTGAAGTGGATCAGAGTTCTGTACTCCGACTTCTCCAGCTTCACGGAGGACCAGGAGAAGCTCATCTCGGCGAGGGAGACCTTCGACTACATCGAAGGATTCGTGATCATCAACCGGACGGGACTGCTCAACAACTGGAGATCGTCGTTCAACCCGCAGGATCCCGTTCAAGCCAGCCGGTTCGACTCCGACGGGAGGATCCTCTTCTGCCTCGAGATGACCAAAAACTTCAACCGAGACGAGGCCGATGTCATGCACCAGGTGATCATCCCCGGTCCACACCCCTGCAATGCATCGTCTGCAAGCCATGAACGTGCGGTAACCTGTGCCTGTGATCGCAGCGAGTCGAAGCGCTTCTGTCGAGATTGAGGTACATACCGTCCACCCTCTTCCAGTCGGAGGTCACCTACCTGGAGTTCCTGGACAGGGTGCACGTCTCCGAGGTGAAGCTGCGGTCCAAAGGCCTGTGGGAAGTTCCGCATCCATGGCTGAACCTTCTCATACCCAGAACCAGGATCAAAGACTTCGCAGAAGAGGTCTTCGGCAAAATTCTCACAGACAGCAACAACGGTCCCATCCTCCTGTACCCACTTCACAGATCCAAGTAATCGAATCGGTTCTTCTTCGATTCATCTTACGGTCCTGGAATTGCTTGATCTCACATCGATTCGTGGCTGCAGGTGGGATAACAGAACATCGGCAGTGATTCCAGATGAGGAGGTCTTCTACCTGGTGGCGTTCCTCTCGTCGGCGCTATCTTCCTCGGATCATGACAACTTGGAGCGTGCACTGAAACAGAACGATAAGATCTTAGACTTCTGTAACAAGGCAGGAATCCAGATGAAGCAATACTTGCCACACTATACAACACAGGAGGAGTGGAAGGCCCACTTCGGTGACAGATGGGAGCTATTTGCTCATAGAAAAGGCATTTATGATCCCCTGTCGATCCTTGCTCCAGGACAAAGGATTTTTCGGAAGGTCGTACGGTCCTCACGACGGTAGCTTCTGTGCAGAGACCACATCTCGTCTTGCACGGAAGCAACTCTCCACAAGAGCTACACAGGTCGAAAGAGAGGACAGTCAATCCGGTTGACCGTGAGCATCCGAATGCAACGCCGGGAAGAACAAAAGAATCACGAAAAGCTAACCTGGGCAGCTGAAAGTTCTCCTTACGGTGGTGGAAAATGACATTTGAAAGGATGATATCGGGATCGAAATAATAATGATTCCATCAAAGTATCATGAATTTGCCAGAAGACAGAAAAGAAAAAAAGAAAACAAATCAATCATCGAATTGTGTACATTTTCTCATCAAAAGAATTTGATTCTGCTGTACCACATAATTAAAAGTTGAAGATCTCCAGAAACCTGTTGAGCCAAATGGAACATCCAACGCCACAGATTGCCAATTTGTTCTACAACATAACTAGCGAATTTGTTATTGCAACTCGATGATATATGTAGCTTCCTACGTCGCATTCTTTTTACCTCATCAATTAATAGCCTCCGCTACAAACTCATCCTCGAAAGAAACAACTTGTCACAAACATCTGTTGATTCTTTCCTCTCTTTTCTTCCTGGTTAAACTATATAGCTTCTTTTGCTTCCAGATTAATATATGACAGGTAAATTCTTGCAGGAACCGATTCACAAGGTCAAGGGAACTGCGATGACATCTTGGATGACATGTGGTTGACCTTGTTATGTAACCCGACTCATCCTCAGTTATCTTAATTGCAGGCTAGTGTTTTTGGCATACATGTTGACATATTGGTAGTCAAAGAGCAGAGAGATCCATGAATAGCTTCCTCACATAAAATTTTCCCAAGTTGTCGGTCCATTATATCAGTCTTTTCAACCAATAATTTTTTTGATATTGCACCACACCATTAACTTCTTTCGATGAATCACAGCTCGTTCTTCATCAAGGATACATCAATCTTGTTGATGTATTAGTTTTCTATTGTTCAGTTGAACCATCCATTCATTTCAGTAGCTCATATATCTTAAACGAAGAACAGAGACCATCAACACACCATACCATTAACTTCTTTCGATAAATCGCAGCTTGTTCTTCGTCAAAGATACATCAATCTTGTTGATTTATTAGTTCTCTGTTGTACAGTTGATAGCTCATATATCTTAAACGAAGAACAGATGCCAACAACGGGTGATAACTAATAAGAACATCCTTCACTAAGCCATGAAAAACTGAGTCTGATGTTGATGTCGACAGATGACGACGAAGTATGTCAATGAAAGATATTTTTAGTAATAGTAAGCGTAGGTAGATCCGTTGCCATCACCAAATTGTTGAAAGTCCAACCTCTACAAAGCCATCCCTCGAACTTTATAGTCCACTGGCACATTACTGCTCAATCTACAATAACCCTATAAGTAGTGTAGATGATTGTGAAGAGATGAAAGACTTCAATTTGTTGTATCAAAGAACCATTTCAGGACATACTAATACATTCCTAGATAAGATTGCCCATTGATCGACTAAAAAGAAGTGGTTAGCAAGGAGAATGCTTAAGTGAAAATAGTTAACGAATTAAAAGTAAGAAATTTGTTGTCAATGATAGAAAAAAAAAAAAGAAATCATAAAAGAGGAGTTAGCATATTTCAAACTTCTAAATAAACAATGCATGAGGAGTGGTGCTCAAATAGGTCATCAATTTCTTTGACCTAAAAAAAGGTCTAGTGTCTGTGGAAGTTCAATTTATTCTAGGGTTCATCAGCAGAAGATTATTTCCCTGTCAAATCAATTAGGAGCAAAGTTAGGTTTGTCTCCACTAGAGGCTCAGGACTGTGAATCTTAGTGACCAAGCAACAAAAGTAGGCTTAAATCAATCATCTTTATGAACATATGGAGGGCATCATTTTCTTCCTGAGTTCCACAAAGTGCTTAGTTACATTTTAGCAACCCTTTCTGATTACTATCAGCACTGTCATGAAGTCACAGCAAGCCATAGAGATCTTGATTTGCCATTGCTACAGCATTAGTTAGGGACAATAGAAAACCATCATTAATGGGAATAAGATCTTCGAAAAGTAAAATAAATGTGAGCCACCATTAATGTCAGTATGTGAAGAACATGTATATGTTCACTGCTTTTTGTTCCATTGATCATCTACTCTCCCTGAGGCCAAACCAAGAAATCGACTCAATGGATGTACGGATAAGGGTTGTATGTCCTGAAATGGCTAATAACATGCTTCTAAGGAAGCAAATGAGTCAAGGCTAGCCCATCGACACAATTGGCCAGCCCATAAAATGCTAAATGCAAAATACAAGGGTTCAAATTAGCTTTTATGGATGTTATGTGTCAAGCTGCATCAGGATTTTTCAAGTCACCAAATTCGGATTAATCCTTTCTCAACCTAGTAATTAGTTTATTAATATTTTATTATACTTTATAATCTTTATATATAATTTTTTATGTGCTAAAGTCAATTGATGTGTTCAAGTCTATAGTTTTAGCTTAAGATATGATTTTAAAACCTTTGAAAGATGATGGATATTGCTTTCAATTGGTTGGGCAGAGGGATATTTCTCCTCCCCCTCTAGTGGGTGGACCTCCAATAAGTGAATCCTAGCCAATGCTTTTTAGGAAAGATAAGTGGGGGCCCCTCTCTTATCCTTTCTTCTTCTTTTTACTCTTCTTTCTATAATAAACCTTCTATATTAGCCTTATTCGGGGGTTCCAAAGAGTTTATCTTGGGCACATATCATTGCATGTAAGATCTCTCCTCTCAGCTTTGACTCCTCTCTACTGTTATCCTTGAATGTATCTAGTCTTCTTATGAGGACTATGCTACTTTTGATAAGAAATAATTAAGAAAGTATGTAAGTTTTGGGAGCTCTATCTAATTGGAAGATTCCTTAAGGGTGATTGAAGCCGAAGAATATGCATCCTCCTCATCAGGTCCTCCTCACGAGGAGCATGTGCTTCCCATGACCCATGTGGCTCCTAACGATAATTTGATTGGGTGAGGCTGAGGCACGGTCTCTCGTACTTTTCGTGAGAGGCAGGGCTCAAGGCCTACAATATACTAACGTTACCTTATGTGAATCTTCTTTCACCAATCAAGATAAATAGATAGTGATGGATCTAAATCCAATCAAATAGGTGGATGATTCAGATGTGGAGGCATCTTAATCCACTTTAGGTGATGGTGGGTCCTCTCTAAGTAAACCTACAACTAACAAATTTGATTGAATGAAGAAGATATTTATATAGATTGGGACCTAATTAACCAGGACCCATTTCAATCCCAAGTTTAAGAGGTGGAATTGGCTCTTATAACTCTATCTTCTATAGTGGCCTAGGATCCTTCCATGGAGTAATTTGATGTAGCGAAGATCTTAACCGGACCTTTTGCTCCCTTAGGTGTTGGGATCTCTAGTAGAGTGTGATGGGATATAAAGCGGAATAACTTTTATATATGAACAAATACTAGCAGGCCATGATATGCAACGGAATTAAATAAAATCACAATCAAATAGAACATCAAGATATACGTGGAAAACCCCTCTAATGTGAAGGGTAAAAACCACGGGGCAAACTAGAGATAATCCACTATGAGAATAATGAATATACAAATCTCAATCTCTTGCCCTAAACCCTAGCAACAATCACAAGAGAACAACTGGGATACAAGGATCACGTCACTGTCCATAATATCTAAAACCTCCCCAAGTAATCATAGCAAGTGTCTACTGTAGATTTGATCTAACCTGAGATAAGAACACTGCTAGATGATTGAGAACAGTCTCTCTGCGTTGTCCTTGTTTTCTTCCCTTTCTTTCTCTTATTTTTTTGTCTTTTTCTTCTCCTCTTTGCTGCTACGAAGATCTCTACATTGCTACAGTTTTTCTCCCAAAAATGCAGCCACCTGCTTCTCAAAACGCAACCATCACACCCCCCTTATATTGATTTAGGGTTAGGTCAAAGGGGTGTGGGCTATGAGCTGATAAAGCCCACCATGGGCTGAACCCACTTTGGGTTGTCAGCCCAACAACCTCCCCCTTCAGCCCATAAGGGAGGCTGTCCCATGACTCCTCAATATGAAGTTATGTCGACCAGTTGTCGGCATATCTCTTGTCTTTCTTTTGGTAAAGTCTTTCACAACCAATCTAGCTTTGTACTTTGGTTGAGAACAATATTCTTGAGTCTTCAACCTGAAAATCCACTTATTCTTCAAGGCCTTCATTTCATTTGGTAATAGCACCAAATCATAAGTGTGGTTCTTATAAAGAGCATCCATCTCTTCCTGCATAGCAACTAATCACTTCTCTTTCTGCTCACTTTCAACTGTTTCTTGGTAACTCTCTGGTTCACCTGCATCAGTAAGCATCACATACTCATTTGTAAAGTATCTTCTGGAAGGTTGACGTTGTCTAGAAGATCTTCTCAACTGAGGTTCTGCGGGAAGTTGCTCTCCAACTTTTTCTTGCTCAACATGTCCTACAGGTAGATCAATATCAGGCTCTACACTATCTTCTTACACATCTTCCCCATCACCCTGATATACTGGAGGAGTAATTGGGCCATAATCTACTAATCCTTCTGTAGAAGTATTGGCTGGTGTCTTCTTCTTCAAATCTTCAAAAGTTTGATCCTCAAAGAAGACTACGTCTCTGCTTCTAAACACCTTCTGCTTTTCTGGATCCCAAAGCTTGTAACTAAAATGATCATGTGAGTAGCCAAGAAAAATACATTCTTTAGTCTTACCAACTAGCTTGGACCTCTCATTGTCTAGAATATGTGCAAATATACGACAACCAAACACTCTCAAATGTCTATAGGAAACATCTTTCCCTGACCATACATGCTCTACAACATCACCATCTAGGGTTGTACATAGTGATAAGTTGATCACATTAACTGCAGTCCTCAAAGCCTCATCCCAAAACCTTTTGGGTAGCTTGGCCTATGAAAGCATACATTTGATCTTTTCCATGATGGTGTGGTTCATCCTCTCTGCAATTGCATTATGCTGAGGTGTACTAGGAACTATCATATCATGTTGGATCCATGTGACCTACAATAATCACTAAATAATCATGTATACTCACCACCATTATATGATCTTATGCATTTCAATTATCTTTTTGTCTCCCTTTCAACCCTGGCATGAAACTCTTTGAAGACATTAATAACCTGATATTTGG